CTTGTGACATAATAGAGATTAAAAACATTAGCTACTGTTAATTCTGATGTAATAGATTAAAACATTAGCTATTGTTACTTGTGACATAATGGAGATTAAAACATTAGCTATTGTTGATTGTGACATAATGGAGATTAAAACATTAGCTATTGTTAATTCTGATGTAATGGATATTAAAACATTAGCTATTGTTACTTTGACGTAATGGAGATTAAAACATTAGCTATTGTTACTTGTGATGTAATGGAGATTAAAACATTAGCTACTGTTACTTGTGATGTAATGGAGATTAAAACATTAGCTACTGTTACTTGTGACATAATAGAGATTAAAACATTAGCTATTGTTAATTCTGATGTAATAGATTAAAACATTAGCTATTGTTACTTGTGACATAATGGAGATTAAAACATTAGCTATTGTTACTTGTGACATAATGGAGATTAAAACATTAGCTATTGTTGATTGTGACATAATGGAGATTAAAACATTAGCTATTGTTACTTGTGACATAATGAAGATTAAAACATTAGCTATTGTTGATTTTGACATAATGGAAATTAAAACATCAGCTATTGTTACATGTGATATAATGAAGATTAAAACATTAGCTATTGTTACTTGTGACATAATGAAGATTAAAACATTAGCTATTGTTGATTTTGACATAATGGAAATTAAAACATCAGCTATTGTTACCTGAGACATAATAGATTGAAACATTAGCTGTTGTTGATTGTTACTTGTGACAGACTTGGTGCCTCCTTAGGAACAGAAATTCCATATAACTGTTTGTTGATCAAACTTAAAAATATGGAAATTTTATAAATTATTTATTTTTTGAGTTTTATTTCCTTAAAAAGATGAAAATTTTACAAATTATCTATTTATTGAGTTTACTTTCCTTAAAAAGATGGAAATTTTATAAGAAGACAAGAATATTATTTCTAGAGACATTGATCTGTAGAACTTAGAACTTGTGAGAATTTTGGATGAGTTTAGTGAATTAGGTCTAAGCTTTTAAGGAATAATGTCTATTTATAAGTTGAAGATAATAAAGTAATATCTTCATAACATCATCGTTATGCATCTATTTTATAAAACTGAACTTCATTATGTAAATTTTCTTATGACAGAAACCTAACTAGAAAATATTTCATTTCCATTGAAGTTTGCTTAAGACATCAGCAAAACTTCCTTTAAATAACAGTGAAAGTTTTGTGTAGATCTTAAATGTAGTTTGTGTGTGGCATTTAAGTTGTCCTTTAGATAGAAATATGAATTTGTCTTTATACCGGTACTTGAAGATTTAATGTTAATGCTATAAACTTTTTCTTCTCCTTTCTCCAGGAGATAAGTTGTAATTTTCTTTTTTTCACTGTAATTCATGATATTGGTGATGAGAAAAACGTGTGCATTATAAAAGTTGTCTGATGAGATGTAAATATAAAATAATCTTCAGAAACAAATATTTACCAGCTCTTAAAGTATATCATTAACCCATCAATCACTATCATAAATGAATACGGTATTGAATGAATTATTTTGTACCAGAAATATAAACATTAAAAAACATTGACCTAGTATTTTATGAATAAAGTAAAAAATAAATTGTTTCTTTATTAATGCTGCATTTGTTGATGAGTAAGTTTGAGTAATTTTATATAAATAAATATTTATCACTATATGTTCTTCAGTCTATTACAATCATTAATTAAAGCACTAAAAGCCCATAATTGAACAAAACTACACCAAATCTTTGATGAACATGAAAATAAGGAATTAATCCAAGATATTTCTTTTTTTTTCTAAAATATACAGGAATTTTGTACTTATTCTAAGAATAACACCCACAGGTTCTCTCACAGTCTAGTGAAGTACTCCACAGATTCATGGAATAACCAGACTTGGGTACCTTATAGGTTCTTTCGGAATAATGTGGTATTATGGTACTGTTTTCTGACAGATAAAGTTAGGCTCAGAACTGTTAAATGAAGAATAAATTGTATGTGTACAGGAAAGGAAAAGCAAATACACAAGTGAACAAATAAAAAAAAAACTTTATTCATAGTAATTTTAAATGCTTTTGTTAAAAAAAAAGCTTGCTTACTTCTTATTAGTTTACATTCAAACTTGCTGCTATGTTGAAGTAGGTTTTCTGCATAGGACAAGGACAGCAATAAAAATATTATACTGCATTTTCTTGCTCTTTGAGATTGGCTTGCCCTACATCAGAGAGAGGACACTCTAGTCTGTTGGTTCAAAATTTTGCAAACAAAAACGCCATCCCTCGCTGCTGCATAATGTAATCACTAAACAAATACACCGTCCCTCTCTCCTGTATAAAACAACCAACAAACAAATACACCGTTCCTCACTCCTGAGTAAAATAACCAATAAATAAATATGCTATCTTTCACTCCTGAATAAAATAACCACTAAACAAATACACTGTTCCTTCCTCCTGAATAAAATAACCCATAAACAAATACACCATCTCTCTTTCCTGAATAAACCTCCAGAGTTTGCTATTCCTTCCCAATTGAAACCTGAGGATTCATCTAGGCATAATTCGGTCTTCACTGATGTTGTGTCTCAGGTTTGTGATGTTTTATCCCTTTCTCCTATCTCTTATTCGCCTCGCTTTTCTTTGTTACATGAAACCTCTTCTCAACCATTTTTGGTATTTTCTCCCTCCCCAGATATTTGGGCACATGCTGATCAATTTCTCTCACAATTAAGAGAGGCGATGAGCATGCCATGCCTCCGAGAACTTCTGATTAATCCACCATTTCTTACCATCATGACTATCCCTTTTTGGATCAGCAGTTATTGGGTTAACTATTACCTCTGTGGGAGGTGGCTCCAGAATCTAGTGTTAGTATTACCGATGCCAAATATTCTCCCCTTCGTCTTACCCTAACCAACCTTCTATGGTATCTTTCTTCCATACATCTCCTCTCAGAGGATCTTCACAGAAATCCTATGGGGTTTTCTGTGGATACCCTGCACCTTCTTTCTTCCACATTAGCCCACACTTCGTCCTCGGTTCTGGCGTTACATACGTGGTTTCTTTGTTGTTTGGACCTTGTTGGTAGGGATGCTGTATTGGCTCGGGTCAATTACCCTCAACTTATTTATGAGACTTACATCTTGCTCCTTTTCTAAGATGTTATGTTTTAGGCACAGTTCAAGAAACCATCGAGCCTCAGGTTACATCAGCCCATCAGTAATCCACTCTCACGTCCTTTGTTGCTCGTTTGTTTCGGTCAGAGCCTCATATTCCACCTATTCTCGTTTACCATCCTTTATCCTCCCAACCCTTACCCATTCCTTCTAATTGGAGTACTTCTTTTAATTGATTTCCTCGATGACGTAAGATCCGTTGCCACCAGTACCAATGGCTACCGTGTGGGTTTAGGGCTGGTGGGAACGTGACTGTTGGAGTTTCTTCCTTGCTGGCATCCCTTCATCGATGATCAATGGGTGATAAGGGTTCTTTCAGAAGGTTTTGTTATCTAGTTTCACCTCCTCCTGTTTCTCCTTGCCCCATTTCCTTTCCTATTCCTCAAGATCCCATAGTATACCAGCATCTGTCCAAAGCAACTCAAGATTTGATTTTGCAGTGGGCAATCGAACTGTTTCACCAACCTTACAGGGTTTTTATTCCCGTCTTTTCATAGTCCCAAGAAAATCGAGGATTGGCGGCCGATTATCGATTTATTTTGCCTCAGCTGCTTCATCGCACTCCCAAAGTTTACCATGGAGTCTTTCCTCACCCTGAGATGGGTGTTTTAACCAGGATTATGGATGACCAAAGTGGATGTCTTCAATGCTTACCTCCACATCCTGATAGCTGAGCAGCCTCAACCTTATCTTCAGTTTGTCCATCTTGGGGTGATTTACCAATTTTGGGCCCTTTGGATCCGCATCAGCTCCTTATGTGTTTTGCCGCATAGTCCAGGCATATGCTCGTCATCTTCATGTTCTGGGGTTGCAATTTCATTATTACATGGATGACTGGCTCCTTCTGGATCATTACAAACAGGAATCGGGCAATCATACTCACCAGCTCCTTTCTGTGGTGGCTCAGGTGGCCTTGTTGTTCAAATTGGAGAAGTCATTCCTTTGATTCACTCGATATCTTGTCCATCTGGGTGTTTTTTACACCAATCTCAGTCAAACATTGCCTTCTCCTTTCTGTCTTCGATCCACGGAAATTTTAGTTCACCACCCTCTCAGCTCAGTCACTTATTATTCACGAGGTTCTGTTGCTTTTGGGAATGTGGTACTCCATGACTACACTTGTCCCTCTCGGTCGTGCCCACATGATATCCCTGCAATGGGCATTTCACAAATGATGAAACCGTGCTCGGGATTATCTTTCTTCCCCATCTCCCTTTCTCCTTCCCTGAAAGATGATCTACACTGATGGCCGGACAAAGCTCACATGTTGATGGGTGTGCCATTTCCTCCCCGTGTCTGGATCTACATTTGTTCATGGATGCATTCCATCAAGGTTGTGGAGAATGGATCAATCACCAGGAAGTTTTGTGCCATTGGTCTGTGGATGAAACAGTCTTGCATATCAATGTTCTCGAACTTTTAGCAGTACATCAGGCTTTACACCACTTCCTTCTTCTCGCCCGTCATTATTAGGTGATGGTTCATTTGGGCAATTCTATGGTGGTGGCACATATCAGCCACCAATGAGGCACCTTGTCCAGTTACCTCTGTTTGTGGATGTTGGATCTCTTACACTGAGCCCATGCACATCACATTCGTCTTATTGCATGTCATATGCAGGGTGCTTTCAATCTCGTCACACTCGTCTTTCATGACCAGACCGAATCTATCCAACAGAGTGGGCATTAGATCCTCTCATTTTCAGACCTTTGCCATTGTTGGGGTTCTTCCCAATTAGATACTTTTACCACAGGTCTGAATACCAAGTTGCCCCTCTTTTGATCACCTATACCACATCTTAAGACTTTGGTAGTCGATGCTTTCAGCCAAGATTGGTCACACAAATATCTTTATGTATACCCTTCAATCTAGTTGCATTGTTGAGTGATTCCTTTTGCCAAGTCTTCCTGATTGCACCCTTTTGGCCAGCACAACCTTGGTTTCCCAGATTACAACGTCTGCTCCTATCACCACCTGTACTTTTTTCACTATCTCCCTCCCTTCTTTGTCAACTTCAATCCCATGTTCTTCATCCAAATCTCCACATCCTCTGTCTTAATACCTGACTTTTGTCCAGTCCTTGGTGAGACAATTCAGTTTCAAAATGTTGATTCGCCTCCTTGTTATCTCGTTCCTTATGGCCATCTTCCATGGAAGTATACCAGCATAAGTGGAAAGTCTTTTGCTGACAGGGGATTTTCTACTAACAAGCAAGCCTTCTATGGCTTGTGTTTTGAAATTTCTCGCCTGGCTGTTTGACCATGGGTCATTGATCTCCTTACTTTCTAGATATCCCATACCTTCCATTTTTCCTGATACCATAGGAGTTTCTTTTATCCTGTCTTTATGGGCTCATGTGTTCCTTCAGAATTCGGATGCTGTCAAGGTGTCCTGCTCTTCCGGTTTAGGACATTAATGTGATCCTCCATGGCCTCACTTTATTTCCATGCTCCTTGTTTCATCTGTCCCTTAAAACTTATTTCTTTCTTTTGGCCCGTGGTCATCGATGGTCCAATTTCATGTACCTTTTATCGCTCAACCCATCTTCTCTTTTATCCCAATCATTCGTTTCTCTCTAAGACCACGACGGCTTGGGAGAATTTTTCATCCTTTTCCTATTTTCCTTCCTTCTATATCACATTTTTACCCTATACTGGATCCAGATAGACTTCTGTGTCCAGTCAGGGCCCTTCATTGTTATATCGCATGTACTGCTATTTTTCGGGGTATGCACAACCATCTTTTTATTCCCTGGCAATCCTCCTCGCTTCATGATCTTTCCCTTTCTACCCTTACGAATTGAGTTCACCTTTTGGTTCGTTTGGCCTACTCTTTCCTGCATTTTTTCTCTCGTACACTGTTCTATGTTTCCTCCCATCATGTCAGATATCTCACATTTTCTCTTGCTTCTCGTCTTCATTGTCCGATGGAGGAGATTCTACAATCCAGCATATGGAACACTCCCAGTACATTCATCTCCCACTATCTTCTTCGTATTGCTCCTCCTTCTGCATCAGGGTTTTGTCAACCATCTGTGGCTATTATCCAGACTTTGGGACAACTTTATATGGTAAGTTTTCTTCATTTTTATTTTTTTCAGGGGCCTTTTTTCTCTCTTTTTATCATGAATCCCACTTGCAAAGAATGGTGTCTGACCAGGTATTCTTTAACTCTAAATCTGCAGTGTCAGCCATGTTGACTTGCGCTCTCTTGTCCATGGATTCACACGCCCACCATAGAGATGGGGTGTTCCACAAGGGGAGTTGATTATATGTGATCGACATCCTTTCAATACTGTATATCTATTATGGGATCGATAAAACGGTGAGAACCCTCGTGGCATACCCAAAAATTGGTGCCGATCTGAATACCCGATTCTTGGGTTTGAGGT